AGGGAGAGGGAGAGAAGAGGGAGAGGGAGATGAGGAGAAGGAGAGGGGGAGAGGAAGAAGGGAGAGAGAGAGGGAGAGCGGAGATGGAGAGAGAGAGGGAGAGGGAGAGCAGAGAGGAGAGGAGAGAGAGAGGAGCAGGGAGAGAGAGAGGGAGGGAGAGAGAGAGGAGGGAGAGGGAGAGGAGAGAGGAGAGGAGAGGGAGAGGGAGGAGGGAGAGAGGGAGAGAGAGAGGGAAGAGAGAGGGAGAGGGAGAGAGAGAGAGAGAGAGGAGAGACGAGAGAGAGAGGGAGGTGAGAGAGAGAGGCATAGCGAGAGGGAGAGGATGAGGGAGAGGAGAGGAGAGGGAGANGAGCAAGAGAACAAGAAAGAACAGAGAAAGAAAGAAAACAACGAAACAACACAGAGAGACCAAAAAAAAAAAAAAAAAAAAAAAAAAAATACACGTACAAAAATAACAACCATTGTTCGAGGGAAGGAGAGAGAGGTCATTAGGAAGACTGAATATGATGGGAATTGCTTGGACCGCAAAAAAAGAAAGATAGGAGAGAGAGAACGGGAGAGGGCAGAATCATTGAAGAGGCGAGGAAGAGAGAGAGAGAGAGAGAGAGAGAGCGGAGAGGAGAGAAGGAGGGAGAAGGGAGAGGGAGAAATTGTTCGAGGAGAGGGAGCAGAGTAGTTTGAGGGAAGAGGAAAACCGACAAGAGAGTTCCATAGAGATATGGAACTGGAAGAGCAAAGAGAAGACGAAGAGAAGCAGAGAGAGAAGAGCAGAAGAGAGAGCAGGTTTAATTCTTGAGTAACGAAGAAATGAGATGGGAGTAAATTGAGATGAGAGACGAGAGTAGAGAGAGGAAGAGAAGGAGAATGATGAAGAAGAGAGAGCAGATAGGAGAGAGGAATACAATATGGAGTAGAATGAGAGACTCTACATTTCCCCCTACTCCTCTCCCTTCGGCTCTCTCTGTCTTCTGTTTCTATTGCTCTTATACTCTCTTCCCTTCGTCCCCTTTTCCAAGTTACTCATACTCTTTATTCGCTCTCTATTCCGCTCCCCTCTCATCTTTTTTTTCTTCCTCTTCCTCTCTCTTCTCATGTCGAACCTCCTCCGATCCTCCTTCATTTCTCCTTCCCTTTCCCTCTCTCCTTTTTCCTCTCTCCTCCTTCTCTCTCTCTCTTCTCTTCTCTTCTCTTCTCTTCTCTTCTTCTTCTCTTCTCTTCTCTTCTCTTCTCTTCTCTTCCTCTCCTCTCCTCTCTCTCTCTCTCTCTCTCACTTCTTCTCTCTCTCTCTCTCTCTTCTCTTCTCTTTCTCTCTCTTTCTCTCTCTTTCTCTCTCCCTGCCCTTTCCTCCCCCCTTCCTGTCCTTCCTCTTTCTGTTTCTCTTTCCTTCCCCTTCCTCTCTCCATCCGTTCCCATTTCCCTTCCATTATTTCCCATTCCTTCCCCTTCTCTTTCCGGTTTCCTTCTCTTCTCTTCTTACCTTTCCTCATTCTTTTCATTTCCTCATTTTCTCTCTCTCTTCTCTTCTCCTCTCCCTCCTTCCCACCCACTTCTCCTCCTCTCCTCCTCCTTCCCATCCCTTCTCCTCCCTCTCTCCCTCTCCTCCCTCCTCCTTCCCACCCTCTTCCTCCTCCCCTTCCTCCTTCCCCTTCTTCCCTCTCTCCCTCTCCCCTCCTCCTCCCACCCTCTCTCCTCCCTCTCTCCTCCTATTCCCCCTCTTCTCCTCCTTCTCCTCCCTCTCTCCCTCTCTCCTTCCCACTGCCTTCCCCCCCCTCCCCCCCTTGCTCGCTCGTCCTTCCAGGCACTTGAAGATGAGACTGATAAGATCTCTTTTGTGTGTTCTTTTTCCTCTCTTTCTCCTTTTCCTTTCTTTTTCTTTTTCTCTTTTCCGGTTTGGGTTGTTTATTTTTCTTTTTGGCTTTTCAGTTTTCTTTTCTGTTTCTTTCTGTTTCTCTTTTGTATGGATGTTTTGTTTGTCTGTCTGTCTTTTTCGTCTGTTTATCTGTGTGTCTGTTAGAGTGTTTGTCTGTCTCTTTTTCTATCGTTCTGTCTGTCTGTCAGTTTTTTTTTTCTCTTTTCCTCCTCTCTCTCTCTCTCTCTCTCTCTCTCTCTCTCTCTCTCTCTCTCTCTCTCTCTCTCTCTCTCTCTCTCCTCTCTCTCTCTCTTCTCTCTCTTCTCTATCTCGCTTTATCTTTTTTTTTTTTCTCTCTCACTCTCACTCTCACTCTTTTCCCTCCTCCCTCCCTCTCTCTCCCCCCCCCCCAACGGGACAACTTACCAAAACCTCAAAGAAAGACAAATAGAAAAGAGAAAACAAACGAAAAAAGAAGAAAAAAAAGAAAAAAGAAAAAAAGAAAGAAAAGAAAAAAGAAAGAAAATAAAAAAAATGGAAAAAGAAAATGAAAAAATGAAAAAAAGCCAAAGGTTCCCCCCCCCCCCCACCAGCCTAACCGACCCTGGTATCCGGACGAGGCCCAAAGGTAACGCAATTACTCCCCAGGAA